ACCTACCTTAATTTATTGCGTAGGGCAGTGGTGGGTTCATACTGGCGTTCCTACCGGTTCATGCTGACCGTGCACCTGTGCCAGACGCATGCTGCGCACATGTGCGCACTTGAAAGAAACTTGCTTGGAAAGCAGCTGAGGAGCGGCAATTCAATCTGCTGCCCCTGATCAGCTGGGCTTCAGAAGCTGAAATTAAGGTAGGTATAAGCCAGGGGCAGGCGGGCGAGCCCACTTTCAAAGCAACAGAGAACCAGTTCGCTCTCTGCTTGACGGCAGAGTTATCGATTCAGGAGAACCAGTGCGAAGGGTAGAAACTCCTGCCTTGCTCTATGGCATCCCATTTAGGCCCTTTTTCCGCCAAAAGCACATGCGCAGAATGTGAACTGAATATGAACGTACACGGTCACTTCTGCGAACCAGTAAGGAAGGTAAGTGTATACCACCCCTGGTTTGCATGATTTTGGTTATTAAAAAAAATCTGCAACTATGGGGAAACCCTCAATGAAATGCAATAGAAGGTTAGATAGGGAGTTGGGCAGAGATAATCAAAATCCATCTGGATCATCTCTCCCAGTCTAATTTTGCAAGCCATTGTTATTCAAGCATGTAAACCAGTTGTTTCTCAACCTTGGCAACTTTAAGAGGTTCAATTCCCAGAATTCCTTAGCCAAGATTACACCATCCTCTCACCAGTGTTATGATCTAGTCTCACGTTGCAAGACTGGTGGTAGTTAAGATTTCAAAGGAAGTAGGACATCATCAAAGCATCAAATTATGATTGGCATCAAAGTAATTTCTGTTACTTCGTTAGCAAAGGATTATAGAAAACCACCGTGAGATGGCGGCTCTTGCGGTTTGGAGGCTGGGTTGGAGGTTAGCAAGCCTGTGCTCGAACCCCGAGTGCTGCCTTGGGAAGGGGGGAGGTGTAAGCACCCATCCTTTGCTCCAACTATTGCTGGGGACGTAAAAGGAGTCCTCCAGGGGTGGGTTCCGGTAGTTGCTACTGCCAGTTCACTTGTGGATGCGCCGTGTGCACATGCGCAGAGCAATAAAAATTTCTGTGTATGTGCAGGACCGAAAACAAGGAGAAGTGGTTCAGGGGGCGTGGCAGGCCTGGGTTGCTGCCGGTTCCAGCGACACAGGCCACCAAACTACTACCAGTTCTGCTGAACCAGGCCGAACCGGTAGGAACCCACCAATGGAGTCCCCCAACTGGGCATACCCTGGGCAAGGGTGATGTCACTTGCTAATCCTTTCAACGTAGAAGTGCCTCGGCTTCTGGCACGAGTGCGCCAGCAGTGGGATTCACTTACCTTCCCTACCGGTTCGCAAATGAGAGCCCACGCATGTCTACACATGCGCAGTGCTCACGCATTATGTCGGGGCGGGTGGTCGGAGCCTCCCACAGCTGCTGCTACCAGTTCACCTGAACCGGACAGAACCGGCTAAATCCCATCTTTGGAGTGCAGATTTATAAAACCACATTTGTCCACTGCTGTAAAACTTACGAAGATTTGCCACTGCCTGTCGGCCCCAGAATTGCATTCAGTCCTGGCGTCATGATTCCACTGAAAAACAAACCAACAAAAAAGTATCACTCTCTAAGCCAGTAGAAACAAGTATCTCATGTCAGAAATGGGTCTCTGGTGTGGAATACCAACAGTTGCAAGCTAAAGGCAAGCCGTAATTCAAGAAAGCTTTTCCACCACTGTGGAACTTCTTGAAAAAGAATTTTTTTAAAAAAGTCAGAAGAATCCCAGTGCAGAAGAAATACTCTGTGCCTTACAGGTGGTCCTTGAATTACAAGCATTTGTTTAGTAACCTGTTCTGACCCCCCTCCTTATGGTGAGTCACGGGGACACAAGATTACTGCTAGACAATTTATTCACAGTAAATTAACACACTGACAAGACTTTGGCAGCAACCCANAGGCCAAAATTCTAAAAGGAATATAATTGCAGGCCTGACACTAGCTGAGTGACCTTGAGCCAAATGATATTCTGCACAGGTTTGAGTTGGCACCCTTCAGACCTTACTAGAGACAGTGGCCTTGAAGAAACAGCCTTTACAAGCCAGAGAGGAAAACCTTCTTTCCTGAATTGATGACCACTTCCCTCCCGCTAAACTGAGAGGAGAGACGGCAGATTCCATATGAGAGCCCTGCTCTCCTATATTGAATTTAAAGTGGGGAAAAGTTAGTGGAGGAACAGACAATTAGATATTGAAGGAAATATTCTGATGAAACCTATCCAAATAGCCAAGGTTTGGCTGCAACTCTCTATCAAAGGTATACACCAAGGAAAAGTAGGGAGAGGAAATATACTTAAATGGTATTATTTTCATTTAAGCGTATCATTTTTGTAAAATGACAGGATTTAACATTTTATAGTGACTTATTTCCTCTCCGGGGAAATCATTTCTCATTGCTGTGTAGGCTCAATGTATTCATCCAGAACTGAAAGCAATTGGATTGGGGGGTTTTGTTTTTTAATTTTTGTTGTGGACAGCAGGAAATAAGACACGAGATATCCTGTTAATAATTGGTATGAAAATCCACCGAAAGATAGAGGAAATGGGGCAGATTTGATGTTGGTTATCAGCATCCTTTCAGACACTACTCTTCCCTACTCTGTTGCCTTTATAAGGGCGTTGGACTTCCTTTAGCCTAACAAACAAGTTCATGGTTTGTTCTGGTTGAGGCTGATGGGAGCTTTAGTTGAATTTAACTTTTACTTTACTTTAGGATATCTATGTGTTGTATTGTAATTCATCATTTCAGAATAAATGTCTTTCTTTCATCTCCTCTCTCTTCCCTTCCTCCCCCAAGATTTTTTCCTAAAATTTTCCCCGTAATTGGGCAAACCCAGTAAACACTGATAAAGTGATAGAAATGTATAATATGGAAAGGGTGAGGAAAATTAAGAATAGAGAGATATTTTATGGTATCAATGATCTTGGGAGGGAGGACGGATCAGAGAGGGCAGCATGTTGAGAGCAGAAACCTTTCTGGTTACCATCAAATCAGTGGTGGGATTCAGCCGGTTCGCACCTATTTGGGAGAACCGGTTGGTCACTTTCTAAGCAGTTCAGAGAACCGATTGTTGGAAGAAATCTCATTTTGTTTTTTTCCACTTTACAGGGCTAACCCCATAAGGAAGGCAGGACGGAAACATTCTGGTGTTGTTTCTAGCCTAATCTTTATTGCCCTGCTTACAGAAACTGCCTCTCTGGTTAACCCTTATTACATTGTAACAGCTAAGGCGAAGCGCCCATCGACGTGAGTGATGTTGAGTTGGCCACGCCCACCCAGTAGTCAGATGACTACTGAGCCACACCTACTCAGCTGATCGTTAGGGCAGAGAACCAGTTGTTAAATTATTTGAATCCCACCACTGGATGGAAGACTGGATCAACCTTGAGCCGGTCAGGATCAAACTGCTGACAG